CCGGTGTTTGCCATCGGGATTGGGTTTTCGTCGCTTGGCAACGACGTTGTACAACAAGCTAATTGTCTTCGTGAGCTCGGCAACCAGGTTACCGTTTTTTCTTTTACCTCTTTTTTTTTGGCGGTAACCATGAATGGCGGTCGAGCGGATCATGTTGTGCGGGGTCGAGAACCCTCACTCCGCGCAAGGGGGATGATCGCACCACGTTGTGTTAAAATGGTCAAGCACCCTCGAGGCAGTTGCACAGTGCTTACAACTGTCTCTGAAGTGAACACCAGAATATAAATTACTCCATACGCAAGGAAGTAAGCATAAGATGCCAAACACCCTTAGCAGGATGCAGCGCACCCTTCACGCGACTCGCCGAATATCTCACGGCGCTTCGCGCTTGGTGATGTGAGGGCCTGGTCCGGTGAGAACCTGGCGTGCTCCGTCCCGGCTTTGTAGGGATGCGAGGTCAATGGTCTAACGACTACGGCATGCACGACTATGAGTACACCCCCCCCTCCCCCCCTCAGGAATTGGACTCCGAAATCAGTGGTTTCCAAGTAACTGATCTTCCTTCGCCATAAATTTAGGAACTTTTTCTCTCTTCCTCCATCTCCCTCAACGTGCCGTTCCCACCGAGCAACACGCCTGCTCCCTACCCCCGCAAATGCAAGAGAGAAAACTCAAAAAGCGACCCCATCATGAGGACGAGGGCACGGAGGGCCACAGGGCTATCCGGCCGTGCAAAGGGTCCTCCTCGCCGTCCTCCCGCGTCTCCCCTTCCTCCTCCTGTAGCCGAAGGTGGCCCTCCTGCGATAATTGTACGAGGACGAAACGAAACGAAACGACGAAACGGTACAACGAAACGGTCATACCAAAAGAAATAGCAAGCGCCACAACAACGAACCGCGACACGTCCCCCAATCAAACGAAAACAAGATACGAAGTACTTATCACTAGTCGTTAGCGGCTGCCGGACCGACGACCAATTTCAAAAGATGCACTCTGCGGACTCCCCCCCCCCAACAGCATACACACGCGAGGGGTGGTGCAAACTTACCGCTGCCCCCAGTCCCTCTTCCTCCCCCGCCGCCGGCTGATCGTGGTCCAGCAAAATGCCCCCCTCGGACAGCACGAGGTCGAACGCCGTCTGCCCGTGAAGAATAGCCCTGTGGTGCTGACGATACCTGTCTTTAAGCCCGGCCAAGCACTTCTCCTCTCGCTCCTGCTTTGTATACGGCCACGCACACACGCGAGTTGGCAGCGGACAAAGTATCGCAACGACAGGCACCACCATCACAAGCCAAAAACACCGTTGTAGCAGCAAGCATTCATCACTTGGCACCGACAATAGGAGAAACAAACCACGGTGCAACAACCAAGCGTTCGAGCAAGCTGGAATCGAGGGGGGAATTTGGACGTACCCCGGCATTGCCAAGGCAGGATGCAGTGAGCGAGCGCTATCCTCGGAGAACGATCCCGAACACCGCTGCTGTGACACACCGATCTGCTTCCAGCGGGCGAGGAAACAACCACCAACCACGGCAAGAACCGCGGAGTGGATAACCCCCGCCTCTGCAGATTACTCTTGGAAGAGTTTGGAAGGTCGCGAGTGTTCCGATGTACAACGGGTTTTTGGCTACAAAGTCAAATCACCGGTACGCGTGCAGATACAAACGTCCTTTTGAGGGGAGGGGGGGTAGGGGGCTACGGCGACCGACTCTGGTGACATCTAGCACGCGTCGTAATAACTACCACGTCGGGCCGAACACCCAGGGTACCGCCCACTGTTGTACGCAAAATACAGTAGTGTTTGAGCTTAACTCGACAAACAGCGCAAAGCACGTAAGCCCATCGCAGCCCAAAAACAACCGCCTTGTGCCTTATCCTCAACAATGCGCTTGGCTGTCCTACCCGCTGACTACAAGGCCATTACTATGGTGACTAGTATGACTGTCGTACCTTGTAGTCCAGGGCAGTTTCCAGCGTGCTCTGCAACACGTTCTCGCTCAGCCTCTTCTCTATCTCCTTTCTCTCCTTCAGCGCCTGTCGTACAACACGACGTCCGGGTAGATGTTCATGTCAAAACGCTTGGTAGGGTTGGTCGCCGTTGCAAGAACGTGCACATCAGTTTCACGCCATTCCAGAGCACCACGAAAGCTGGGTGAAACACCTCCTTCGTCCGGACTTGCTACGACAACGTTGTTCTCGTTGATGTCGTACATTCAAGCGTCATCTTTGTTGATGTTGATGTTTTGCCAACTTACGAGACAAAGCTCTCCACATGCCACCTCCTCCTCTCTTCGCCAACCCGACCAACACATGTAGACCGCCAAATTCACACCTCGATCTGCACCCGCAGCACGTCCGAGCTGGCCTTGTTCTCCGCCGCCACCCTGTCCAGTCTCTCCGCCGAGCCATTTTGCGATTCGAGGCGTCTCTCCTCGTGCTCTGTCTCGCTCTTTCCGCCCGCCACCTGCTTGTCGAGAGCGTACTTGCTCTTGTTGTAGGCCTCTTCCTTCCGCTTGACCTGATAACCGATACACAAGAAGGTTACAGGGTCACAAGTAGGAAGGGGGAAGGGGGGGGCTCAGTCGCTAACCTTTCTCAGCACAATGCGCCACAAGCGCATGCGTCACATGAAAACTCAAGCAACAGCAACAACGCCTCCGTTTCCTGTCGTACACTGAAGAAAAAAAATGCAGGGTAAGTCCACACTCGCGATCTCCACGTTCGACGCCAAATTATTCACCGATGCACGTCACGTACAAGGCCAAACCGATACCTTCACGAGCGTGTGGACGGTACGACTCCGTCGGAATTTTTTTCTGGAGCTGCAACACGTCCTAGACAGCCACTCCGTCCCTTGAAAGAGTGATTTGATCGGACATTTTTGTTCCAAGGAACGAGGTGTGTGTTTGTGTTACTACTGCTGTATGTTCTCTTGAGCCACAAAAAGGAGAATGGGGACACCAGGATCAGATAACGAGGATGGTTCTGCTCGGCACCAGACCAACATAAACACAACGACGTGTCCACGAAGGGTGTGGCCTAGTCTACACTGGCTTGCCTGCTTGTGCAGCAGCTCCACTTCGCTCAAGACGTCTGTGATGTTCTCCTCCGCCTTGTCTTCCTCCACGAGCAAGTTCGACAGGTCCTGCCCGCGGGGGAAAAAAAAAGGCGTGTTTGTGCGAGGCGAGGGTTCCACACGAACGGTCGACGAAAGGCAAAGAAACGCACTTGAAGTATGGATAAACATGTAAAAACTCTGAACTCGGGAGTGGACGTTGTCATCCAATCTTCTCCGCGCCTCCCCTGCCAGCGACTATCGATCGTGATCGGTTCGCGGTTCTTATCCCGGTGTAAGGACTGACGGCCTTTTTGTTTGGTCAGTCAGCCGTTTGGTGCTGTCGATGCAAGCTATTAATGTAAAACAACCACACACACATGACCTTGGGCAGCGCATTCTGCATATATTGGTGTATCTAGCGGCACTGACTCTGACGCTTGTTTTCGGTCAGCCGGCTAGAGCGGTCGACCCTAATCAAAATCAAATACACACACACACACACACACACAACGCACGCACACCCACCTGCCGTAGCCCCGCGGTCCTTCGCACGATGGCAATCTTGAGTTCCTTCAGCGCGGGGCGGATGACCCCCCTGACGTCATTCGTCAACACGCCGTCCTCTTGGTCGAGCTTGGTTTCGTCGATGTCCACCGCGTAGTTCGTCTCTCCGGCGTTCTGCATCACCGCAACACGTTCATACTTCGTTAATGACAAGGAAACAAGAGAGGACAGGAGGCGTTCACAGAAATGACAGCAAAAAAAGTATATTTCATGAAACGAGGAATAAAAAGAAGAGAGGCGTTCCAAGATGACAACAACGACAGACACAAAGAGGCATCCAAATAACACCCAAGATTTGGTCGTTTTCATGAACCGGCGGCGAGGGACGGTTCCCGCCGTCGGATGCCCGTTCGTTGTGGAACAAGCCAAGAGGTCTCGTCGATAGGAAATATCGTGGTTCTAATTCTTGAAAATTCCACGGCTCCGCGAGGGGCGACCCCGCAGTCTTTTTCGTCGTTGGTCAATAGGTAGACAGCAGTGTGGCCGGCGTTGCAGGAGTAAATCTTCGCTGCTGTGAAACGCCCAACGTGCCAATGGACTTCAATGGCAACACCTGCCACAACCAGAATCACAATTGCCACAGCAATAACAACAGCATCGCCAACAAAAAACAACACGAGGTCGAACATAGCTGCGTGACCCCCCCCCCACACTCACCTCTGCCGGCTGCGTGCCGAAGGGTACGAGCAGCAACGCCTCGGCCTGTTCCCTGTACCGGTGAAGGTTCTCCTTAAGCGCCTCCTTTGTGCTCGACACTTCAACCTGGGCTGACCACCCCTCCTGCAAGCAATGTAACATCATCGACGGCAGTCAAGGGGTGCAACGTACCTGATGGAATATTAACGTGCCTGACAGGAAAACGCACATGGCATTTGCAAGAGGATGCGCAAGTCCTGGATGCTACATCTGCAGCAGTACGCCAAGAAGGAAGGAGGCCACCATTATCCATGGCCTGACCAGCCGGTCCATTCCCTTTCTTCTTTGGCGGGTAACATCGACGGAGGCAACCAGGCCAGGCCGCAAAGCAACACCAAAGCGCATCCATATCATATCCTGCACTCCATTCACCACCGGCGGCATAGTGCACACGCAGCAGCGACATTGCTGCCCACGCCCCGACTGTTCCAGCTCGCCTCACGCCCCACAACACAACACGCGCCCAATCAAGAGAACACATCACAATCACACCGCACCACGAGAGACACGTGGGGGCCTCGCAGTCAAACTGTGTTGATCCCGTGTCCAGGTTCACGTTTCTCAACGCGGCGTCACCAGCAAAAGTGAGACTACCAAAAGCACTTGTCGTCGAAAAAACAGATTCGAAACCACTTCTCTTTTGACCAACTCATATAACTTTCCACAGCAGCGTAAGCCCGATTGCCACAACAGCACCTCCAGCGAGCACAGGAGTAGTGCTGCACTGCCACACACCTTGCGTGCTTTGACCTTGGCCTCCCCCGCGCCGGCCAGCGCGTCCCTCAGCCTGCTCCTCTCCGAGAGCTGGCCCTCCATGTCCGACGCGCTGAATTCCTGCGTCGCTATCTGCTCTCGCAGCGATGCAGACGCCTCCTCCAAGAGAGGGAGGGGTTCCTAGAAAAAGAATCAAGGTCAACGACGATGACAAATTTGAAAGATTTCGTCGAAGATGAAGCCAAAACAGAGCATGACATCATCTACAAATCGCTCAGCCGTTTCCCGCCGTTTTGATGCAGCACGAACAAACGCCACCGTGGGAAGTATCGCGCACGGCGCAAACAACAGGCAATGGTCCCTTCGCGCTTGCTCTCTACCGGGGGCAAAATGAAGCAAGATGAGACTTCTTTGGCTATTATAACCCGACGTTGTCTACCTGTTCTCTCTCTCTCTCTCTCTCTCTCTCTCTCTCTCTCTCTCTCCTTGCATCTACGTCCCTCTCCCCCCTGGCATCCCCTGACTCTCCCCGTCCCCTCCTTCCCGCACCAAGCACACACCTTGAGCCTCCGCTCTTCCTCCACTCTCTTGTCCACCTTCTCCTGCAGCAAGCGCCTGTGCGTCTCGATCTCCTCCAAGAGGGATGTGATCTTCTCGTTGTCGGAAAGCGTCAGCTTAAGCCCTTCCTCCAGTGCAGGGAGAGAGTTCCCTTGGTCCAGCAGCTGAAACATCGTACGCGGGATTTTTCAAGCCGAAACACAACCGAACCAAGTCCAAAACAAGTCGACATGAGCCGAAACATGTCTAACGAGGTCTAAGTTAGCCGACACAGACCAAAACGAGTCCACGTACGAGCCGAACAAGCTGAATCAAGCAAATAGTAGTGAGTCGACACAAGTCGAAAATCTACCTGGTTCATGAATACGAGCGAAATCCGCAGCCAGATCATTGAGGGAGGGGTTAATCAACAAACGTGAGAAAACAAATGACGCACAAAATGTCAGTGCCAAGTTGGTGTGGCGTTAGCGAACACCCACTGGGAGAAAAACGACCTACTGCTGCCATCGTCCCGAAAACTCTACCACACTTTTGCCAAGCGGTACATACAGCACACGCATGTGAAAAAAAAAAAAACCTGCACAGGAACAAGCAAACACACCTCTTGGTTGGTCTGCCCCAGGGTCTTGTTGGCCTCCTCGAGGTTCCGTAGAAACTCCTCGGCCCCGGCGTCCTCTTCATCGCGCGCCTCCGTGTACTCCGTGGTGACGGCCTGATGGGCCTCGTCGTCTCCCTCGAGGAAGCAGCAGTAGGCCTCTTCCAAGTAGGCCACGAAGTTCTTCTGGTCTGCGCCCTGAAGGCCGCGGCAGCATTAGGCAGGATGAGATACAGCAGCGGCGGGTGTGCGGGTGGGGCCCGTTCCGCTTAATTTCGCGAAGCCACAGCAAGATGAAAAGGCACAGACTGAAAGGCAGGTGGACAAACTTCCACGGTAGAAAGCAGTTCCCCAACATCGTCGGTATCGTCGTTGTAGAGAGAGACGCCCCTAAAGATAAGCAAATTGCCTCGGCGCAGGCGAGGGCCCGCACAAAGCAGTGATCTTATCGACACAGACCTCGCCGGCGACCAAGGAGACGGTTTGTTCGATCTTCAACACGCTGGATCATCCAACATATCTTGTGACAGATGAGGGGTAAGTTTCTTCATCTGAGAGGAAAACGACAACATAGAAATACTGCGTAAACCGGTTACCCATGCCACGACAAAATAGGGAACTGGCGCGCTCCTGGCACGTGCCCTATCGTCCAACACCAACCGTCCCATACGACCAAAGCCCGTCACAAAACACCGTACAAAGAGCACGGCGTAGTATAAAAAAAGGAACATGACACTGATCCTCGAGGGCGTCCATCTCCTTGCAGTATCCCTGTAATAACGAAAGAACAAACACGACGCCTCCCTGGCACTTCAACGAAGCCGGTTGACCAATGTACAAACCGGCGAGGGAGGAGATCAACACCGAAGGAAGCCCGTGCGAAGGCGACGCGTAGAACGAACACCAACCACAGGACCGCGAAAGAAACCACCAAGGCCACGTCACCTCACCTGGTCATCGACGCCGTCCTCCTTGTCCCGCTCTCTCTCCTCGGGCGTGGCCTCCCGCTCCCTCGCGCGCTGCTCCTCCTCCGCCACGGCGATGGTCTCATCGTACAGGAGGGCGTCCACTATCCACGAGATGGCACCCATCACCTAACCACCACCACCACCGATACACGCCGCGCGCGTGTCAACCTTGTGGCTTCTCTACACGAGGACGATCAAGTTCCCCGTTACGCCAACAACAAGCAGCTTCCCCAATAGAAACGGACCCTCACCGATAAGAATGAAATGTAGCGGCCGTTAGTGAGTATATGCAATAGGTTGACCCTCCCTCCCCCCCCTCTTCCTCAACCCACTTTAGGCCAAGTCTGCGGAGCTCCGACGGCGGCGAGCGAGGACTTGGAGATGGTGAACGGGTACCGGACCATCTTGAGGAAGGGAACAACGTCGTCTTCGAACCTCCCGGAGGGCTGAGCCGCATCGGCGTGTAGCGTCCCGTAAAAAAACGCCACAGCGGCGACGAACACATAGCAAGAGAACCAGCAGCGAAGCGAGACGGACAGCACAACAAGTTGTAGCAAACGAGAACAACGTCACGTCGTGTAGCGTCCGGTAAAAAAACTCACCGCGGCGACGAACACACAGCAAGAGAACCAGCGAAGCGAGACGGACAGCACAACAAGTTGTAGCAAACGAGAACAACGTCACGTCGTGTAGCGTCCGGTAAAAAAACTCACCGCGGCGACGAACACACAGCAAGAGAACCAGCGAAGCGAGACGGACAGCACAACAAGTTGTAGCAAACGAGAACAACGTCACGTCGTGTAGCGTCCGGTAAAAAAACTCACCGCGGCGACGAACACACAGCAAGAGAACCAGCGAAGCGAGACGGACAGCACAACAAGTTGTAGCAAACGAGAACAACGTCAATGGTCACACTGAAAAACATGTCAGCAGTCTGCAGCAAATGATCTGGGAGGGGGGGCGAAATCAACCACAGCTTAACGTAACGCGTAGGGGACTAGATATAACGTGTAACCGCGTGAATTGCGTCGTACCCCCCCCCTGTCCCCGGATCAAGGGCCGTTGTGGATACTTGTGGAGTACTTTCGCCTCTCTCAACAGCAGCGCAGGACCGTTGTGCGGCGGTGTGTGCGACCAACGCGATACACGGAACACCATGTCCGGCTCGTGAAGACGCCATGGTTGCAAAGCTGCTGCCGCCGTGTTTGAACAAGGTCGTGACATTGCACTCTATTTCTGAGTAGTGCGCTGCTATGTCGGCAAAAGAAACCGCGGCAAGCACACCGATCACAAACATATCGTACAGCAGTAGGTTGCATAAGACACCGCACACCCTCGACAAATCTTCAAAGCTGAATACCTCCAAGACGGAGAGAACGCCAACATCAAACATCAAACACCAAACGGTGCGTTTCCTCGGAAAGCCCTCTAACCCTCGACGAGATCAATCCAAAGCCACCGTTGTTGGTATCATCACTGTCGTTGTTACTGCAGGGCAATCGGTCTTTCCAAATTGGCCCAAGGTGTGTGGTATCTCACGTAGCCTACAGCAATACGGTAAGAAGAGCCGCAATCGCTGGCACAGCAGGTCGGTACACGTATCTCTTGTCAAATACTCAGGGACTTAGGCGGCGCGGACAGGAGGCGTCTGACAAGGACGAACACGTTGCTTGTACCGCAGCACTGTACAGCACTAGTGCACCACGCATCGACAAAAATCGGTAGCAACACATACACAGCAGTCGTGCTCGAAGGGGTGCTTTCTTAAGGTTCGGCACGACCTCCCGCCGCCATTCTGCTTCGTGCAAAACCGCTATACCTACAGGAACCGCTATAATTTGACCTGTTACGTTATGTAGACGGTACCCCACAATTGTTGTGACACGTCGAGGACAGCACACAGCAGAATCAACGCAGCAGCACGCTGTGGGGTTGGGCAAACCACACTGTATCCTTCTGCAGCACTGCTGCTGCCGTTGTTGCTCAACAATCCCAACAACAACCACGCCATTGCAGATTGCGGCCGTTGTGTGCGTAAAAAGTATTGAAGTTAGAGTGCCACCTCGTCACGAAAACATACTCTTGTCTCTCACCCTGTAGTTCGGGTCAAGCTGCCTGAACAAGAACCCCGTGATGTTGTTGAAGTCCCTGCCGCTCGGCCGCGTCAGGCTCTTGCTGTTGATGGGCTGATCGTAACCGTGGTCAGTCAGGTAGGCCGCCAGCTTGTGCAGGGAGGCGTTGAGGTGGGCCTTGTCCATCAACGGCCTCTGGTCCGACCTGCTGCCGCCGCCGGTCCCGAACGAAGTGGTTCGCCGAACTCCGACAGACTTGCGGTCCCCGGCGGTAGACATGCTGGGCCTTCCCGCGCTCTGCCGGGAGGAACTCATGCTTGGCCGCGAGGTGCCCATGCTCGGACGAGACGTACCCATGCTGGGGCGTGCCCCCATGCTAGTGCGCCCCCCGCCCCCTGCGCCGCCGCCCATGGTAGACCTTGCCGCGGCCGAGCTGGTAGAAATGCTGAATCGCGAGGACGGCTGCTTGGATGACGCCAGGGAGGAGCGTCCCGACGACGTCGTGCCCGTGGAACCGCGGGAGTTGAGCGATGAGCTCGACACTGCCGCTAGCGTGGTTCTCCTTCGAGCTGCCATGGTAGCGGAAAGTAGTTTGGTGCGTGCGCGCTGCTGTCGGGCTTCCTGCTGCTGGTGGGACCCAGGGTCGCCCGCCTTTAGCTTTCAAACTTTCAATCTACGAGTCCTCTGCGATACGAGTTTCCTTCAAGCCAGAAGCCACAAACACGGACACTATGGCTCAACAGCTGCTACACTGATATTGCAGTTAGACAGAGCCCGGTTCTCTACCCTCCTCTGCTGGAGAGAGAACGCTGGCTCTCCTGCGTTCCGCGCCGCGTCTACTGAATTCACGTGTTCACGTACGTCCAAAGTTGCCGTTGGTGTTTTTCTGACCAAGGACCTCTGCGAGTCTTTGTGGAAATCCCGGGTTCATTCTGCGTCGCCCCCAAAATACCGTTGCGCGAAACAACTCCGAAGACGCGCGAAGCCTTCAGGTCAAGAGCGGGGCTGAGGACACAGCACGCACTGCGCAAGGCAGGTTTTGGTCTCCAAGGGGTGCAGGAAAGTCCTGGCACGCTAGTGTAGGCAGGTTCGTTGAGACTTACCCCTCTGCAAGCACAAAGAAACCCTACAGCAGTGAACGCGCGTGTGTCGCCTTCGGGAATCTGCCCGTTGGTACATTCGCGATGATGTCTTCGGCGGCGTTCGAGCGCTCCTTGAGAGGAGGGGGGACATCATCTTTGTCCTCGTCGACGGCGGCCTCCTCCTCCTCCTCCTCGACATCCTCGCTGAGGCCCCCCAAGAAGAAGAGCGTCACGTGGGACGACGACGAGGTGCTTCCAGACGACAGCGGCGGCGAATCTGGCGTGCTCCGGAACAGTAGCATCGCCTGCACCAACACCAACAACGGGGGTGCAGCAGCAGAAGCAGCAGCAGCAGCAGCAGCCGGGGCAGGTGCAATCCACGAGCCGCAGAGCTTCGACCACCTCCGAGTGCCGGCCAAGCCTTCGACTAGCAGCACCCGAGTCGTCGACGCGGCCGCGAACCAACACCACCACGGCGCGGGCTCGGCCGGCAGCGGCGGCGGCGGCCTGTTGGCCTCCGCCCGCAAGAGGGTGGGAGCGGCGGAGCAGACGCGAGGAATCCAGATGGGGCCGCTGCGAGTGCGGACCCCGGCGAAGCCCAAGCGGTCTCGCGCGGACGCGACGCCCTTCCACGCCCCGTCGTCTTCTTCCGTTCCCGCTCCTAGCGCGGGTGCCACACACAACTACCTCCGGCGCGGCGGCGGCACGGCGGCGGCGGCGGCAGCGGCAGCGGTCGCGTCGTCGCCGACTAATAGATCGTCTCCTACTTCCGCCGCCGGTGGCGCTGCCCGCCGCCCGAGGAGTCCCAGCCTGGCAAGGTCGCCTACTGCCGCCGGTGCTGGCAGATCGTCTCCCCCGCTCCATCCAAGTAGAATCCCTCGCGCCGCCGAGCCGACTGCTGCCAGGCCCGGCGCGGCGGCTACACCCGGGGCAGCAGGCAGCACCAGGAATCGCAGCAGCCCCCGTCGGCAGAGGCATATGTCTTCGAGCCAAGCGCTACGCAACGTCGCCGGGGGCAACGGCGAAGACGACGACGACGCCGAGGCTACCTTCATGGAGAACGACAACGGAGATCACGACGGGGGTGCGGAGGGAGACGGCAACGGTGGCGCGGCGGCCCCTGTGGACGGCCCATCCCCAATGTCTCTCCTGTCGAACACTCTCTCCGCAATCGGTCTCGCGGTCGGGGTAGGGAAGCCACCCAGATCGCCCAGGGCCAGCAAGGGCTCCCCCAGGCTCAGCGTTAGCGGTAGCGGCAGTTCCCCTAGGGTTTCTCCGTGGAGCTCTCCGAGAGCTGCTGCGAGAAGCCGCACGTCGCCTTTTTTTGACACTTCCGGGAGCGGCGGCGGATGCGAGGGCCTCCCGCGTATGCTGGAAGAAGACGAGGAAGAAGACGTGAGTTTCATGTGTCTCGCCCAGTGGACGGCACAGCAAGCGCTTATACGTGTAGCACAGGCAGTCGGCCCTCTCTTGTTGCTTTTGAACGCGCCTCGTGACGTGCAGGCCTGTTTTCGCTGTGCGGCAGCGCGTAGAGCACTTGGTGGTGCACATGGCTGGTCTGCACCCGCTCTCACCCTCTGTGTAGCCTGCAATGAGAGCAGGGAAAGTCGGGAATTAGCATCGACAGCACCTACTGGTTGGGATCACACTTCAGTGTTTCACATCTTACCTATAGATGCTGTGCATAACTTCCACGCAACCTAATGACTGTCCTGATGTGTAAGATAAAGATGTCTTCCGAACTCGCTCTGTCGCTGTACCATGTGTTCGGGATGTCATCAGCCACTGCTATGCTGTTGGTACCCCGCCCCTCTCCCCCTCGCCTGCAAATTACCTTGCCCCGTTCCCCGAACAGAATCATGTGTAGCGTGACCTCGAACGATTGCACCGTGTCCCATCTGTTTTTTTCTACACGGCAGTTCCCCCTGGGCGTGGCTCGGCAATCTCTGGAGAGTCGATTGGCGGACGCGGCGGCCGCGAGCTCGAACCTGGCGGCCGTCGCTCACAGGGCCTCCGTGGAAAACATGCAGAACAACAGCCCGGCTACCTCGCTGAGCCCTTTCACCAAGAGCAGCACCACAGTCAGGCGGACCTCGACCAGCCGCTATAACGTGAACGGCGAGGTGGGCGACCCCGCGGGTGCTTGGGACGGGGGCGGTTGGTATGTCGTGCTTGTTCGACAGCGGTATTTAGTTGGGATTCTTCAGCGGATCAAATACCGTTCCTGTTGGCCCGTCCTTGGGCTATGTATGCCGGAACACGATAGCTCTTACCTCGACTATGCTCCATCTGCCAGGTCAAAGCGGGTCCTTGAAAACGTGATGGCCGAGAGGTTCTTAGCTACACTATGTAGCTGTGCGCGGGCTGTTTGCCCCGTGTGCTTCCGACATAACTTTTGCTACCCACGTCGCGTGTAGAGCATAAGGTCCATGTTCCCCCTCCGACCCCAAGCCCGTCCGTGCCAATGGAGTCTCGACGGGAGTGGCTGTTATATAAGCTACAGCAGGCCAGGCAAATCCCACAACTGAAGAAGAAGTCATTTTTCTCTTGTATCCCTGACGAGCACCCCATCGCATCATTCCGCTCGTCGTTCGTTCGGCTCCCCCCCCCCCCCC